GGACACAGCTTTCCCGGCGCCGGGACACAGCTTCCTGCGGCGCCGGGAAACAGCTTTCCCGGTGCCGGGAGAACCTCTCTGGAACCGCTCCGGAACCTCTTCAGAACTTCACTCCAGAATTTTCCGGAACCTCACTCCGGAACCTCTCCGGAACCTCGCTCCAGAACACCTGTGCGGTTCCGGAGCGAGGTTCTGGAGGATTCCGGAGCAAGGTTCTGGGCCGGTCCGGAGTGAAGTTCTGAAGCGGTTCCAGGGTTCCGGAGAGGTTCCGGAGCGAAGGTTCCGGAGCAAGGTTCTGGAGAGGCTGGAGAGGTTCTGGAGCGAGGTTTTGGAGAGGTTCCGGAGCAAGGTTCCGGATCCGGAGCGAGGTCCTGGACAGGTTCCGCAGCAAGGTTCCGGAGAAATTCTGGAGAGGTTCCTGAGCGAGGTTTTGGAGAGGTTGCGGAGCGAGGTTCCAGAGAGGTTCCAATGTTCCGGAGAGGTTAGCAAATCTCCGGGCTCCGGAGCGAGGAGCGAGGTTTTGGAGAGGTTTGGAGAGGTTCCGGAGGCAGGTTCCGAGAGGTTTCGGAGAGGTTCTTCGGTTCGGGATGGAGCAAGGTTCCGGAGAGGTTCCGAGGTTCCGGAGACTGGCGAGGTTCCGGAGCGAGGTTCTGGAGAGATTCTGGAGCGAGGTTCCGGAGCAATTCTGGAGAGGTTCCGGAGCAGGTTCCGGAGAGGTTCCGGAGCATTCCGGAGCGAAGTTCAGGAGAGGTTCCGGAGAGGTTCCGGAGCAACCTCGCGCTGCGGAACCTATCCAAAACCTCGCTCCGGAACCTTGCTCCGGAACCTCTCCAGAACTCGCTCCGGCTCTCCAGAACCTCGCTCCGGAACCTCTCTCCAGAACCTCTCCGGACCTCTCCGGAACCTCTCCAGAACCTCCCTCAGGAACCTCTCCGGAACCTCGCCTCCGGAACCTTTCCGGAACCTTGCTCCGGAACCTCACTCCGGAACCTTGCTCCGGAACCTCTCCGGAACCTCGTTCCGGAACCTCTCCGGAACCATGCTCCGGAACCTTTCGTAGGGGCCGCTCCGATTCGCTCCGAAACTTATTTGGGCAGAAGACCCCAAAGCTAAAGCTGTTGGGGAAAAATGCCAGGTAGACAGCTTTGGGCACACCCCCGCCTGCCAGCGACTTCAAAGTACATGTCTCCTGCCCCTCCCAGCATGTGGCCCCTATCAAAGGCATACATCAGCGGCTGGAGTCGAGCGGATGGTCCCACCAAGCCTGTTCAGATCTGGCATCAGGACGGATGTCGCAAGCAATTTGCCGAAACGACGGTGCGCAAGCACAAGTGCACGACGCGAGTGGTTTAAGCGACGCTGCATGAGGAGAAGAAGACCATGCCCAGTTCGGTTTTTGTCACTTAAACATCTAATAGTATATTATACTATTCTATATTATAGTACATTATGTTATAGAAAATTTCATAATATATTATAGTATATTATGGTATGTAGAATCTAGAAGCCCCACTGGATGTTTGCATCGCGCCTGGCCAGAGTGTGTTCTGGGGTGCCGAGTCACAGGACGGTGTCGAGCACTGAAACTCCTCACCATCTCCTGAAACGCTGAGCACCGCAGGCGCTAGATGGATTCTGCAGATTCCAAAAGCAGATTTGGAGCTCAATCAAGCTTCAGACTCTTGATAATCACCTGGATCAACTCGAAGGTTCTGCACGCAAACATCCCTGGCCCCAAGCCAAGCCCCCAACCTCTGGATTGAATTCAAGTTGCTGGTGGCTCTCTCAGAGACAAGAAGCCCTTGACCTTCACGTCCAGGCCCCTGAATTCTGAAGCGCCGCGGTCTACACCGAACCCTCATCCCACCCAAGTGTAGATCGCTGGGGAGCTTCACGGGGAACTGTATGCAAAGTTAAAAGCACCCGAATACGGATCGGAGGTGCGCTTACCCAATTTGCACCCTCATGTCTGACCACTCATGACCTTCCAGATAGAAACCCCCAGCCCTCCCCAAGAGGGTCCTTTCCATCGCTCACGCCCTTGGTTGTTGTAACCGCCCTTGTATCCTTTTCCGGCTTTGCCCTTGGCCCACATACCTACACTACGAAACTGTGAGCCAAGCCTGGCAGACACCATGAAGCTATACCTTCCTGATTGTTCTCAGGATTACATGGGGGTTTCCCGAAATTAGGGGTACCCTATAATTTTGGGGGCCCCTATAATAAGGATCAGAGTATTTGGGGGTCCAAAATGGGGTCCCAGTATTTTTGGGAAACTGCCATACATGGGCTGGAGAAAGAAATTCGGAGTAGACTCCCCGGTTCACAGAAGGATCTGGCAGGAGTTCTGGACTTCTGAGAGGTCCCATGAGCTCGAAAGACGCGGCGAACATGTGGGTGGTTTCCCAAAATTAGGGGTACCTTTTTTTGGGATCCCTATAATAAGGACTATAGTATGTAGGGGTCTATGTTGGGGTTCCTTAATTTTGGGAAACTACCATGTAAACAATCAAGGGTCCCAGGGTTACGGGTAGAAACCCAAAACAACCTCGTTGAGCAAAGCAAACACGGGTAAGAATGGATGATAGAGAAAATCATGCATTACCCCAAGAAAGCTCTGCCACCACAACTCCTAGAGTCCAGATATACAGGGTCATGTGGGAGTCTATCCGTGCATCGTAGCTTCGACGATCATTGGACATCTGTGCCATGATTCTTGGGCCCAAGCCCTAAAGTCTGTAGCTCGAATCAGAAACTTGGACTTGACAGTTTCCAGAAGCAGGGGGAACATCAATGTAGACTAGACCCCATCTGCCATAATCCTTAATATGGGAACCCCCGAAAAGAGACCTTTATTTTTGGGAAACTGGCATTTAAAGCTACCCTTGCACCAGAAGATGCAGCCTGTGATGTCTGCATCGTCTTCTGCCGGGAGGACATACTTGGCGCTGGCCTTGGTGATGTGGGAGCTTCGCAGAAGTGATGACAAAAGGATTATGGGGATCCTGTTGGGATTGTACGAGCTATAGTCTAAACTCCTTTAAGGGGTTCTGTGGGGGACCATATAGGGGAGTATTCTTGAGCTTATTTCGGAGGATACTAGGAGTTTGGACTTGGGGAGTGTATGATGAAGATTTTGAGACCAATCCATGCGGGCATCTGAAGTTTGTGGCCCCTTCCGAGAAGTACCTATCCCTCGAGCTTAGCATGCGCGCACTGCCTGCACAGCCAGTTTTGCTCGGGATGTTTAAGTACACATCTTGGAACTTCGCCCCATCTACCCGAAACTCTGGGACAAAGAGCTGTGACTTTATCTCGGCCAAACTTGGGTCAAGAACCAAATACTGCTGCTACAGGTGTGGGGAAATGGATACCCACTAACTAATCCCTGTATAACGGGTATTGATTTTCCCTCCCCTCAAGCTAAAGCAACTTAGTCGGCGAAAACTTCAGGAATAGATCTGGTAACTGCTCCCACATCTCCAACCCCGTTCTGCAGTGACGCTAGGATCAAACAGAAGCAGCTAAATGGATCATCATCAGAGTGCCTGGCAGGCAGTCTTGCTCAGGCAGGCGTGCCACAAGCTGCTAGAAGCATGGGCTCTTCTTGAAGCTTTTTTTTCGTTTGCTGTGAAGCCTACCACTCAACATTCCAGTCCCTTACCGGAGTATAAGGCCGGATCCGAAAAACGGCAGGTCAGCAATGGAATGGGAGGGGGTCCCAGCTAGTTGCAGTTCGCACCTGTTTTTCCCTTCTTTGGGTGCCATAATCAGCGTTGGGTCCAGTCCTCGCGAGAAACTCCGAGGGCTTGGGAGCGTTTCTTCACAGCTCAACTATGGCGCCTGTGATCTGCCTTGCTAGAGAATATAGGCTGTGTTTTGGGGGCGTGCAGGCATCTACTAATAGATGAAAGCTCACAAATCCTGCATTTGCTTAGAGACATGCCAGCGGTGCACTGGGGTGGATTCCCCCCCTACTGCCTCACCGGCGTCGCGAGCGCGAACGCCGCGAGTCGCGGCCCCGTGAGCGCGAGCGCTTCTCAGAGCGGCGGCCTCGGCCTTGGAAAAAAGGGCATGATGTCCCAGACCCCCTGCAGGATCCACAGCATGGAGTCTCGCAAGTATGTTCTCAAGTATAGGATTGGGGAGCAGCTTTGGGGCTCCATTTTGGATCCGTCAGAAGGTTTGGAAAGGGATGAGAGCTTTTCGCAGGCTGCGGAAAACTCCGCCTGTGGACTTAGGGTTAAGTATGTCGCAACAGGTTGTCATGACAGGGTGTGTCAGCGATCACAACCTGGACTCCAACTGACTTACCATCCAACACGTCCATGGAGTACTCCGTTTGATACCCCGAAACGAGATGCTTCAAGGGACCCCATCGAGTGACATTTTTGCAAGTAGGAACAAGTAGGAATGCATGGGAAGGTGCTCCTGAGAGCATCCCACGGCCTGATGTTTGTTCTGTCACGTTTCAACAAACTGAAGAATGTCCGGAAAATATCTATGTGTCTGGGTCCCAGCTTCTTTCTTGTTCGCGACCTTCGCGCGCCTCTCGAGACCTTGGCGAGTTCAAATTGTGCCGGCAGTATACAACGGAAACCCTATGTTGGGCATACGCAGTTACTATTGTGAGAGCTATTTTACTGCTTTTACGATTATATCATTTTTTATGTCAGTCATCATTAGTACTACTGTTGCTGTTACTGCTCTTACTCTTGCTATGGCTATTACTAGTACTACTACTATTAGTACATCCCCGCCCCCAAGACTGAGCGCGAGGCGATGATTGGGGGTGCAAGAAAGTGCCAGTCGGTCCTTGGCAGTTAGGGTTTCGGGTTGTTAGTTCACATGAATCTGGGAGCTTGCGTTTAAGGTTTTTTGGTTAAAGGTTTAGGGTACCTCGATTTCTGGAAACCTTGCACCCCAAACCCAAACCTGAAAACCACATCCGCTGTCTTAACCTCGAACTCAAAGCCGTGTATGCCTCCCCTTGATCCCCTAGCCCCCACATTCGCCAATATCATCGCCCGGGATCCCCCAAACTGAGAACCCTACATCTTCTTCTACACCCTGAACCTTATACCTACGCACCAAAGTTTAGTGGGGAAATACCTAAGGGTTTTCAAAAATATAGAAATACCTAGGCTTTTGAAAAATGTAGCAAACCATGCATGCCACTTAACCCAGCAAAAAAACCCTAAACCCTAAACCCTAAATCCTAAATCCTAAACCCTAAACCCTAAACCCTAAGCAAAAAGCCAAAGGCGCGAAAGGTACCGGAGCCCCCAAGCCGCCGGGGCGGCGATGGAAGGCGGCCGGTCCTTGCAGGAGATTATAGGAGCCATCCTCTAAACTCCTTAAAGGGGGGGTTATATAGGGGATTTTATAGGGTTTAGGGTTTAGGATTTATGGTTTAGGGTTTAGGATTTATGGTTTAGGATTTAGGGTTTAGGGTTTAGGATTTAGGGTTTAGGGTTTAGGATTTAGGGTCTAACCTCCTTAAAGGGGGGTTATATAGGGGATTGTATAGGGGAGTACTATAAGGGTTTTTAAGGGGGATACTAGAAGTTTAGACTGTAGCTCATATTCCCCTCCCCCTACTCAACCCTCAGCCCTGTAGATATGGGGGGTTTCCCAAAATTAGGGGGTACCATTTTGGGGGTCCCAATAGTAAGGATTATAGTAGTTTGGGGTCTATATTGGGGTCCCCTTATTCTGGTAAATTACCATATCAGGTTACATAGGATATCCAGACGGATCTGTAATAATCGGGATTAGGGTGTAGGAGCGGATAGAGGAAATCCCACTTGGGCTCCCCCAATATCCACGTAAGTAAGCATCATAAAACTACTGGAGAATCAAGCAGGTTCAGGATTCAGGGCTTCTCCAGGCTATGGCCAAAATTCAAGAGTCAGGGCTTTGGAGGACAAAGGTGCCCTGGAACCCTAGCTATTGCTGTAGTTACAAAAAACAAGATTGGTAATAGCTCCTTCCGGTTATACTACAATCGAAGTTGAAAAGGGTTCTCCAGGGGAAAGGAGATTCAGCCTGTAGTAAGCGCTCTGCGAAGCCTTCCGTATATAGGCAGGACAACATGCTCCAGGGTGTGGAGGTTTCATGCGTTCACTTGTTGAAAATAAAGGGTTTAGGACGTGTGTTGGGAGGTGTCTGGGTGCCGTAAGATTGTGTGAAGACTTTCCGCCTTCAACAAGAAAAGCTCTCCAGTAGAAGGAGGTCTTCCAGCTTCTTGGGAATCAGCTTCTATGACAGAACTGACCTCATGAAAGGACTGTGCTGCGGTCAGGTTACCGCTGTGCTGAGGTTTAGATAGTCTCTCAAGGAGGTGAGGCTTGGCGGTCGGAAGTTTAAGGCTTGGCGGGTTAGGGTTGAAGGCTTCAGGGTTTAGGGCCTAGGGCTGGGCTATATACGTTAGGCTTTAGACCTTAAAGGTTTAGAGTTCAGGGTTTCTAGCTTTCGGCTGCGTTTCCTTGCTGTTGTAGTTACAACCGCGGTGAAAAAGGGTTTTGCCTAGCTATGACTGGAGCTACGACACTTGCTTTCTCCGATGACCATCCTGCTACAACAGCGCCTTTAGGGAGCCTGCCATGCCCTGAATCCCAGGTGGTTGCGAAAACGACAGAAGGCAAGCTCAAGCTGGCCCTCCCTCAACTGAAGTCGATCATGAAGGATGCCACGCATGCCAGAGATATGTGAGGTATCCGTTGACAAAAAGACAGCCTACTTCCAACCGCCCACCGCACGCTGAGCGCGCGACTCATCCAGGCCTTCAAGCAATCTAACCTTAGAAGGAGTGGTCATGGAATTTGGGCTGGGTAATTCGCCAGGCGCTTTTTCGCTTGGGAACCCATCTAGGGACATCTGTGCAGCATGCTGCTGTTCCACGTGGCTTGTTAGTCAGGCGTACTATGTCAATTGTGCGTGTTGCCCCACGAAGCTGAGGATCCGGGTGTACGAGTGCGCATCCCATTCAACGAATACCTCTGGACCCAAGGAAATGCAAAAGCCACGGACCAACGTAAAGCTTTTCGCCAAAAGAAAAAAAAACAACACCCCTGGAGCCCCCTGGACCAGAAACCCTCAAGGCTGAAACCCCAAACTGAGTCCTCAGCAAAACCGTAAACAAACTACAACATCAGAAGTCTCTCAAAAGACACCAGAAGATACTACCATTCCCTACCTGAGTCCTGAGGCAGCCACTAACAGGCCAAGGCCCGTGGGCTGCTGTGCATTCCCTAGCCGGTCATTCAGAGCCTGCAAGACTTAGGGTTTTAGGGTTTTAGGGCTTTAGATTGTTGCGTTCTGGGTTTTTAGGATTCATGATTTGGGGAGTTATCTAGGGTTTAGGGTTTCTGGCCTTGGCGACCAAAAGGTTCCAAGCTCCTACCTCTCCCATCTACCAAAGATCCAGCAGGAAGGGGCATTCCGAAGACCGTAGCAGCATGACACCCAGTCAGGGTCAAGACTAATGATGCCTTGCGCTGTAAAATTTTTATCGGCCTTGTGCGAATTCACGTCGACCTGCCCAGTCATGCCCTATAAAAGCAAGCACGAGTGTATTCAGCACCAACAAAATGGCAGCGAGCTACAGACGCGATGACCTGGTTGTAACCTCAGTGCCTTCCGACCAGGTAAGTAACTGTTCGGAGACTGGCAGAATGTCCAGCCCAGAGCCCCACATCCTAAACTGAACCCTGAAACCTATGGTCACAGAACCGAGACACCGAATCCTACCGCCCATACACCCAACTCGGCCCTTCACCCACGAGCCGTGCCTGAAGGGTCTCCTTCCGTTTGTTTTTTCGGTTGTTCAGCGTGTCAATGAGCCGGTTCATGACACGGTCATCGAGATTGTACCTAGGCTCGTGTCTGGTTCATGGGTTCGCTACACAGGGCCTCGAGGACTGAAAATAGGCTCCCTCTCGGGGATTATGCGCGGGGATTGCTTGAAAAGCCCATGCCTTGCAAAAGGGAGCCTCCGAAATGAGCGCAGAAGGATCAGATCACAACATCAAAGCCTGCCCCAGGCACAACTGCAAACCAAAACACACATCATGCTTGCGTACTCTTTACGTAATAATGCGGTTTCCAAGAATCTCGGGGTCCAGCTTCAGGCCCATTACAACAGGGACCATAGTTGACTTCGGGGCATATAAGGGCACCACAATTTTTGGAAACTCCCATATGAACACCTACAGAAATTCAAGCTCTGACCCAATGGTTAGTTCACCCATGTCCAAGAGCTTCAGAATCTGAAAACTCCGGAAAGCTCGAACTACAGCCCACTTTGCACCCAACTGCAAATGTCATACTGCTAATGCTAATAGAACCACCCAAGAACAGGAATTTCTGTGAAAGCCCAGGGTACTTGCAGATGAACTCCCAAACGTCTGGATCCAGGAGTTCCTGAAGGGAATGGTCATGTGGAGGCTCATTCAGGCTAGACAACTCCTGAAATGAGAGCACTGCACGGTGAGAACAAGTCTGCAACAAGATCGTAGGGGGTTTACGTATAATTCCGCTGCCAGAAATCGTGCCAATCTTCTGCCCCGAGCTCTGAAATCACGCGCTCTCTCCCAGACACACATAAATCCTAAATCACCCAGAAACCTGCACCAATCCGCCTTCCCTGGAAACCGATTCGCCCGGATCGCTCGAATCTGCGCAAGCATCACCTCTAGCGGCTTTTTGCCGTCCTGCCAATTGATGTCATCTGTGTCGTTCACACAAAATACATATCCCATCCATGATGCCTAAATGCAGGGAGTCACAGGTGTGTGTACGGCAGAAGGATGATGCACAAATGCCGATATCTTTCAAAGGAGAAAATCAACCCGTCGACGTTCACCTCATATCTGCAATGGCGGAAAGTCTGTGCCTCTTTCATCCTGGAGAGTATAAGAGCATGCTTGGAATTTCTATCGGCACTTGTTTGCATGTCCTTGGAACCATGATAACCTCAAATGGGAACAAACACAGATTCCACTGCTTGCTACAGTGATGGCACCAATGCACAGGTGCACGGGTCCTTGGTGGCTCTTTCCATCAGTTTATGGAGGGCCTGTAGGTCTTCGTCGTAGTCTTCTCGTTCTCTCATAGCATCGTTTAACCTCGGTGGCGATTCGAGAAGCTCAGAATCAGGCTACGGTCCACCACTACGCCAGGGACCCAGGCCTCATGACAGTGTCACCACTGATGCCGAAGTCGTTGCAAATCGCTTTGACTCGGGGATCTACCTCGGCGCACCAGGCGATTCCAAAAGACGGTCATAATTTATTCATACTCATCCCGAGCTCGCAGGTGCCAAGCCACATGCTTGTCTTCAGACTTGATGGTGGGAGTTGCATCCGCGGTCGCTTCGCTGCCACCACCCATTGCGGCTTGCATCCCCATCATCATGCCCATCATCGCCTTGCAGTGCTTCACCCTTTATATGGCGGGGGAAAGCATTCAACATGTGCTGCTATCACAAGACCTTTGCACAGATAAGGCCGCAACCATCATGGGGTTCATTCCGGGGTTCATTCCGCCCATGCCCATCATCCCATTCCCCATGGTGCCCCCCATGTTGCCCATCATGTTGGGCATCATGTTCCCCATACCCATACCTGCACCCATGGCACCTGGCATGCTTCCGGGCATGCTGCCTGGCATTGCTCCAGGCATTCCTCCTTTGCCCATCATCCCTCCCCCCATGGGCATGCCCATGCCACCGCACATGCCAGGGCCCATGCCGCACATTCCGCCCATTGGGCTCATGCCGCCTTTGCCACACCCACACCCCATCATCGCTGGATTTTCTGATCCTGGCCGCAGGGTTCATGTACGTTCACGGGTATAGAAGCTGTCAAGAGAGCTAGTCATGATTCTGAATGCAGCCGACCTATGGTCCCTCCAAGGGCACCCCCATCTTTTCCACCATCCATATGTCGCCTGGCATCAAAGGCGCAACTTTATGTCTGAGTCGGCGTGGAGTCTTCTTGCGTTCATGCTGCCGAGGCGTCCCAGGCTTCGCGCGGAACGCTGCCCCTAATCCAGCTTGTGCCGCAAAGCTGCAGATGCGAAACCAGCGCATGTGTGGGACCTATTGAAGAACGGCATTTGGCGTCGTCCTACTGACCGGTCCTATACACACTGGCTTCCCGGCAATGTAACAAGGGCACTCAAACCGAAAGATGCGCTCGGCTATTGCCAAATTCCGCATCAGCTACGCTGCTTTGCTTTGATGCTGCCTAGTCGGAACGCTGGCTTGCAAAATGCCTTTTCTACAGCTCTCAAGTCTGCCGTGCGCACATCTGGCCAGAGCTATCCAACCAGAACTGAGGCCCTGGCATGCTGGGCTGCTTCCTCGAGACCTCCTGATTACCTGAGGCAGGAGCATTGTGACCTTGCATGAGCCTCAGGGATTTTCCTGTGTTTGCTTGTCTTTTATAATCCCCACATTGTTCTGGATAGGCCACTTTCAGAAACCCTCCAAGGTTGTATACATCCCATTCAACAATGAGCCTGGCGAAGTGCGGGCTGCCGAACCAACAAGATCTGGTGTTCAGTCAGCTTGCTTAAGCCAAATACTTGTCTTATTCTTCAGCCCATGGCACTTAGTGAAAGGGACCTCCATAAGAGATCCTCACCACGCAGCTTTCCAGCATAAAACTCATCAACCCGGCAACCCGACAAGTGCCGCGCCAAAATAAAGGATCTAGGCCTGAACAAGCCGTTCTTCGCTTCACCCCTCTAGAATTCCCGAGGGCCTGAAGGTCCATCCAAAACCAATAATTCTGTTCCAAATGCTCGTCCAGTGCAAGACAGAGTGCTCTTGCTGTATCCTCCGCCTGCGCTGCCTGAGCTTGCACTGGTCCTTGGAGGCTGCGCACTGCGTGCCGGGGCAGCGGAGAGTTGTGCCTGCAGTAGGGGGTGTAGGGCCGAGGGTTGAAGACTGACTCAGCGCTGGAACACAGCAACGCAAAGAGCCTGAAGAGCCTGCATGCACCGGCACGCCGCGTCTTTTGCTAGATCATTCCAGCAGGACCAGTTTTGAAAGAAAAGCGTGAGAGCATCAGCTACCGCTGTTTGGGCCCAAGTGGCCTCAAACCTCAAAACTGACTAAAACTGTCCAGGAGCGCGCGCTCCCCTGATAGAGTCCATGAACATGGCTCATGGCTTTAAACCACAAACGTTGTCGGGGACCCCTCGGGGGGGAGTGTCGCTGATATCTCCTTGGCCCACTTTTGGAGCTTCTCAAAATCTCCATCGTCAAAACCTTGGTAATTTGCCTTGAGCTTTTTCCTGAGCTCATCCTGGCACAAAGAACCGAAGAAGCGCTTGTAGATGTGGAAATCTTCACGCTTGGCCCGGCTATCAATCTCTGAAGGATCCAAAAGCATGCGCAGCTCTGCTTCGAGCTGCTCCACGATTTGCCCTCTTTGCGCAGCGAGGTTCTGCAACTCACTGGGATCCTCATCGACATTAAGCAGGAGAGGAGTGTACACTTTCGGCGAGAAAGCGGCCAACGTGTGGCCGAAGCTGATGTACTTCCATGGGCCCTTACGCACCATGTACGAGCCAGTGTTCGCCATGTTGGAGTGGTACTGCGCAAAGATAGCGCGAGGCTCTTGGGGAGTCACGACAAACTGAGCGGGGGCAAAAGAGGTAGCACCTGCAAGTTGAAGCACACTCTTCCCGGCAAGTCCGACATGGCGGTCCCAGTTCGTTTCTTGTCCCATGTCCAACCTGTACTGCTTTAGAGTTACAATGAAACAGCCTTCAGTCTGGTTCAACCATCCGGGGGGCAACCCTCGTGAAAAAATGTATTATTGCCTCCTTCGCTCAGAAATGTAACATGGCAGAAATACTCCAACCATCGCCTACATAATCCCTCTCCGACATTAAAGCTATGAAATAAAATGTCGGCATATCTCTCAGCAACACCCAGCAACAGGGTTGGCAGCACATCCACCAACGAGGTGAGCTGTGTCACTCGGTGTCCCTCGGCGCTGGGTGCACACTGCATTGTCTCGTGCTAAAGGTTATTGCCGCGATTTGGGCGAGTATACAAAAGATTACTATGTGGCTCAAATGCCTGTTTTACGCTGACAAGAAGGAGGTTCCAGGCCGTCCATTCTTAGACCTCGAGCCCTATAATAAACCCTGAACCCCAACCCCCATACCCTAAACCACCTGCCTTAGCAACCCCAGGACCGGCAATGGCAAATGGCACGCGGGTGGAGGCCTCGTACCTAAACAGGGTTTTTAGGGCTTGGGGTTTAGGGTTGGGTCATGGGGATTTAGTCAGTAAGTAGGTCAATAATGGAAAACGAAACAGGCCGCTACCATATGTAACATAGCTTTTAAAAGGGTTTGGGTCATGGGGACTTAGTAAGGAGGTGAATAATGGGGAAATCAGGATGATTATATGGCTTATAGTGGCTAAGAACCTACTTACTTAGCCGCCCTGACTCTCCAAGTAAGCTTACAGGACTTAAGCAGGAGTGGATGAGGGAATGCATTAGGATAGTGAAGGCATATCTATAGGGATCAACCCCCCCATCAGGGGCATAATAAAGGGACATCTTTAGGAATCACCCTCTATATAGGGATATCTATAGCCATCAACCCCACCCCACTAAAGCTTCAGCCTGAAGCACGGGTAAGTGCGGTAAGTGAAGCGGAGTCCGAAGCTTGGAGAGGTCACTACAGCCCCCCTTAACTTACTGGGGGTTACTAAGGAATGAGAGAATATGAACATACATCCAGCAAGTTGAAATGGAAACTTTTCAAGCAAACATGCTGCTGGGGCTCATGGGTTTAAGCCTTCGAACGAACAGCCTACCAACATGCCAGCCATTCGAAAAATACGTCCAGTCCGTAAATAAGCAAGAATCTCAAGACCAATTTCCAAAAACACTCCGGATACATGGAGTTCTTCCAGATCTGGCGATGCTCCATGTTCATCTCACCTGAGGATTAAGGGTGTGGGGCTAGGAGATTGAGGTTAAAATGTTGAGAATTGTGGGGGTCAGGGCCTTCTTGAGTTTTCTACTCCTAAACTTCAACTCTCACTCCTATGGTCTACACGACGCCGTAGTACTTCTGAAAGAGCCCAAGTATACCAACGCTTATCCAAGTTACCATGGTCGGATACGTACACGAGGAAGGTGTTGTTAAGGCCATAGCCTTTTGCAGTTAAGGACAGCCAAACTCGATTCAGAAGATAGTCCGCCTCGGCACACCTCGGTCGTTCCATGCTTGGGCCAGATAAGTCCTCACATGGCCTAGAAAAGCTGAACAAAAGAAGTACACCTTCTGTTCAGTGCACTGGGGCTCGAAGTGACAGAGCTAGGCGGAGGTTTCACTTGGCGCCCAATAGGAGAGGGCTGCTGAAGCAAGATTAAGTACCTCCTTCGGGGCTCTACCACCTGTGGCCGCGGTCACATGATCTTGGTTCTTTCTTGGCTAAAGGCTAGAAACTTGTCAAAACGGGCCCGGACACATGGCGTAGTAAGTCTTGCGAACTTTCATAATCTCCTCAGTGGTGTAGTTCATCTCTTCCACATGCTTGGAGATGGACATGTAACCTTGGTTATCTTAGGAGCCGGGTTAGAGCACCTCACATCCAGTGGTGTCTTCAAGAAATCACCTCAAAGGCCATCATAAAACAGCATCCTTACTGTAACCCTAAACTGAAGAATCTCTGCTCTGCAACTGTCGTATGGGTGCCAGCTCTGTGGAAATCCTTGTGGCCATTGCGGAAGCTCGATCTTGTCTTCCTTGACCTGGCTCGCTAACCGGGTAATCCCCACCTAGGGTTTAGGGTTTGGGGT